AGTTATTCGTTTACAACTCGTTGTTTCATATGAAACTGTCCCTTTAGGACCGACAGGGTCATAGGGTTAAGAAACTGCTTAATAAAAAAAAAAAAAAAAAAAAAACAATTCAATAGATTATTTTTAATTTATTTTAATACGTTAAAGAAAAAAGAAAAGAAATATTAATTAAATAAATAATTGATATTTTTTATTATATTTTAATTGATAAAATTTTCTTTTCATACATTCAGTTTTTATATCTTTACTTGGAAGTCGATTTTCAATCCATTTATTCAAGATTTCTATAGAACACATTTCATTACCACATGCTGAAAATTCATTTATTTAATAATTAATTATAAAATTAAAAAAATAACTTACGTAATAATTTAATTGGATATGTTGTACGACTATTTGTTGAGTTCAAATATTCCACTTTTAAAAAATATCTTTCAGTTTCTATAATTAAATTAAATAATTATTATTAAATAAAAAATAATTTTATATTAACCTGGTAAATGATATAAATCAAAGAAAAGTGCACTAGCATATGATGGTTGATGAATATAATTAGCTTGAAAAAAAGATAATATTGCAGAAATAGTTGTATCATGCTAGAAATGAAACAAAATCAAATGAAATATTGTTTTTATAATCAAATTCTAAATAACTGCAGAGTAAATTTTAGCCTTCCATTGATTAGATTTGTTTGATATAAAACTGAATATATTATTCATAATATCAGCAATAAGTGGACCTTAATTGAAAATATACTAAAAATAGAATTCTTCATTTGAAATATAAAATAAACCTCCAATAATTCGATTTGTTTCAAATGGATTAAGAAGATAATATAAACATAAACCTACAATTTCTCGAAGTTGAGAAAGTACATTAGTGTCAATTGATGATGAACTTTTGTTGTAAAGTGCCTTAGAATAATATTTAGATAAAAAAATTCTGTTTCTATATATATTTATATAGTACATACTTCGATTTGAATAATATCAGCGACAGTCCATGCATCAAATAAATCATTTATTTCTATTCCTGTCCAAGTTTCGAGTTTATCAAAAAATTCCTTGACCAAAAATAATTTACTTTAATCCTGATAAATATATATTTAATCATACCCGAAGATTTCGACTAATATTTTTTATTTGTTCTGTATTTCTTATTTCTTCTAAGAGTTCGAAGAGATATGGACATTCACCAACACCCATTAACTAAAAATAGAATTGATTATTGTTCGACTGAATCAAATAGGTAAGAGACGATTTCTTATTATAGATATTAACTATTATTGAATGAAAAATAAAGCATAAGATATGTAAGTCTAATAGGAAAATTCTTACTGTTCTATCAAATAAAATAAATAAAAGGAGAGAAAAAATTATATTTTTCTTTATTTTTGAATACGTTTTTTGTTATTGTTATCGAATCCATAGAATTAAACTTAAAGTTTATTTCAATGAGTACTCGATTATTCATTGTTTTTTTCCTTATGAGTTTTGATTTCGTGAAATTCTCAACAACAGAAATGGTTTTGTAAAAAAATATCTAATAATTCATTATTTGAGTAGATAAACTTCAACTTGTTAATTTGTAACTATTTAAAAAAAAAATACGAATTTCCAAGTAGCGTAACATATATTTTAAAGAACTTCTCTTAGATCAATATGAAACAGTTCTACGATGGAAATTTTTTAATATATTCCAAAAACATTACTATATATTTTTCATAGGTAAATAGATTATTTAGTTTCTCGCAAGAATTCGTATTTTATCCAGTGGTGAGTATGAAACATTTTGTTCTTCCGAGAAAAATGAAACGTAAAAAAAATAAAATTGATTCAATTTTTCTAAAAGAAATATTTTTGAGATAAATTCAATAAAATGTTAATTTCGAATGATCTAATTTTGGTGCAAGTAGTTTTATCTAGGAACAATCAATCTATAACTCAGTTAGTGATTATTGTCTATGTCTGATCCTTAATTTTTGTTTTGTAAATAGTGGGAACATTTATTTCGATCTGTATATATTTAACGATAAAATAATCAATTTTTGTTTCCTAAGAGAAGATAAAAAAAGAGCAATGTTGACTTTTTTCAATTTTCCTGATGTTATACTACTAAGAATATTCTTAGTTCATTATTTTTCCATTCCTATGTCAAACGGAATGCCTTGAGAGATAGAACAAGATTTCATGAACAAAACTTTCCTTAGTTGTGACTAAAGAATAAACCATAGACTGTGTCTCATCGACATAGGTCTATTTGTGCTCTTCTCAGTATAGTTGAATGTTTTATTTTTCACAACTTTGTCTATAAAAATTTTGTTCTTCTTCAAAAGTCATTCTTTTTTTTTTGACTTAGAAATGGAAGGATGAGAAATTAAAAATAGTCCCGAAGATTCGAATTAATATTTTACACATCGTTGTCTTTTGAGAGCAGGGTGTGAGTGTGGCTGTGGGTGTGGATGTGGATGTGAGTGTGGATGTTTCCTTCATTCACACTCATACTCACACCCACTGCCCATACCCACCCACACCCACACCCACATCCTTCTCGAGAGCGACAAGAGATGGACACCTGAATTTTCTACCAGTTATATAAGTTTAAGAACTATATCTTCGATAAAAATTTGAGTAAAAAACGGATAAGTTGTTCAAAATTTATGAGCGATGAAAGTTACAAAAAGTTCTTCTACAAAGTGAGTAAAATTCAATCTTTTAGAAAAAGATCGTTGTTTTTCAATGAAAAAAAAGTCGTTAAGAAAATTTGTTTTTTATTAATTTATTTTCCGATTAACTGACTTTCCTTTGAATACGTTCGGATTCATTCAACTTGTAGGCAAATAGAGAAAGATCGAAAAATAAGGTCTTTCTACACGAAAACGAGAAAGTATCCTTAACTAAGTATCCAGGGTGAATTGGTATGAAAATAAAAGAAAAAAATACAAAAGATATATCATTTGATAGAGCATCTCAAGCTGTACAAAATGGACTATTCATTATATTCTTTTCTGTTTTCTTTTATACTTAGAAAATATTACTTTCTTAGTACAGATACATGTAAAATACGATTTTTTGACAGTGTAGGCCTTATAATTCCACGATCATAGAAGCTAGAGAGCTCAAATTTAATGCGTCATTGAAGCACTCAAAGACCGAAAACATATAAAAAATTGGTAGAAATCGATTGAACAAAACTAAAGTTATTGGTGAAATACAACTAAAATCTCAATCGTACGGAAAAGTTTCAATTCACTTACATATATATGCTCGGTGACCTTGTTTTTTCTTTTCTTTGATCTATCTGTCACAATTTTCACGCTATATTTTCCCAAAAAATCGAACTTACATTCATTCAAGCATGACGTAGGAATATAAGAAACGATTTTTCTTTTCGGAATCCTTTACAGAAAAAAAAGAGTAAAGGGTGCATGTGTAATCGAGGAGGTTCGGAAGTAATAAATATTGGGTAAAATCAAAAACCTTTGAAAATTTTCTTCAAAAAATTCTTCAAAGTCCTCGAGTAAAAAAAACCAAATGTTTGGTTGTTGAAAGGTCACCCATTGCTCAGGACATCCTTGTGTGATTCAGAGAGAAAAAAAAACAGTTATTATTCAATTCAAACATTAAAATTAAAATTCTGAAACAATTAAATTTCAGTTGGCAAAAACTTATAAAAATTTTAATGGACAAATCTTCAAATGAAATGGGCAATTACCCATTTGCCTCCTCCTTGGCTACGCCCCTGGTATGATCTATTAAACATCAATTTTTTTAAAACTCATCTTCAGGAGTAAAGGATTAAGAATCCCAAGCTTTCTTCTTTTTTAAAATATAATTCTTTTGATTTACCAAAACTATGATATTGTACTTTGATGAATAAATCTATCTGTTAAACTACATACGTAATCAATCGATTCTGGTACAGTATGTACAGGAATTGGTTGCCATGGTAGAATTTTTGGCCATATATTTTCTTGTTCTAGTTCTAGTAGGATTTGATTTAATTTATCCTTTGACGTAGGATATAATCCAAGCAAATTTGAATAAGCTGACATAAGAGTTCTGTCGAGATCCGTACTTCGAACAAATATCTATGTTTTCATAACGAAGAAAATTTTTTATTTTTATATTTTTATTAAACTAACTTCCGAAGCGACATATGTTGAATTGAGTAATTGAGAATATCGTTCTCGAATATATTGTCCTAATCGTATTTGTTGAATTTGTCCTCGAACTGTTAATTGTCCGAAACCATTTGGCCAGAAAGATTCATCAACATTACTTTTCCGGTACAAAAAATTTGGTGTACGATCTCCATGTCGATAAATCTTTTTATTAAATAGATAAATAATTTATAAATTAAAATGTATAACATACTATGTGTGTGCTAATTAGTTTAGGTTGTTGTTGAAAACATTTAACTTGATTAATTAGTGAAAAGAAAGAAAAAACAACAAAGAATAATATGTTGACCATTTTTTGAAATGAATAAAGAGTAAATGATGTATATATATGGATTTCGAGAGAGACTAATCAAAAAATAAATAGCAAACATAATCGGATTTATTTCTGTAAATGTCTTTTTTTATTCATACATTCTATTTCAAACCTTTCATCATAGATTAGAAGATTGAAATTAAAAAAAACAACCAGTTTTATAGTAGTGTTTGTAAATAGATCTAGAGTAACGACAATTTATATTCTTATGATATGTTTTTTTACAAGTCATTGTTGTATTAAATGAAAGACATAATCATATATCAGTTGGCTAACAGTTATTAGGTAATTAATCAAGAGTTATTGACAACCACATTTTATATAGAGAATAATCTTGTTCAATTCTTATACTGATAGTGGCACACACTGATCATAATACTAAAGGAGGGGGGACGTTAAGACCAGAAATTTGACCCACCCCCCCCCCCCCCCCCCCACCCCCCCCCCCCCCCCCCCCTCAACACCCACCCCACACACCAACCACTTTAAAAATAAAAACATATTGTTGAATTCTATAATGAAATCGGTAAAACCATCACCAAAATCCCAAGGGGGGGGGGGATTTCAAACCAAAATTTCCCCCCCCCCCCCCCCCCCCCCCAACAAAGTACTACTTTCTCCTTCTAAAATCATCACATTAGGTCTAACAATTGTTTTAATATAAAAATCAGATCAATATGATGTGCTGTTGTAGCGGACGGGCATCAATATATTATATAGTCATATACCGATATAAAGCATTACCACGCATCAAAATCCCTTGCATATTCTGACATATAGAAAGGGACCGCCAAGTTGAATTATATACCATTTGAAAGCTTGTTTAAAATGCTACAAGATAATAAAGAAAAATCGAAAAAAAATTGTTGGCAGCTATGACTCATCACAGAACCTGTGGACGATTTCTATGTATTTGTACACGACACTTGATATTAGTATGAGTATTTTTGCACATAGAAAGGAACCGCCAAGTTGAATAATATATCATTCGAAAGCTCATTTAAAATGCTACAACATAATAAAGGAAAATCGAAAAAAAAATTACTGGCAGCGATAAGTTATTACAGGACCTATGAACCATATCCGTGTACTTCTATACGACATTGGATATTAGTAAGAGGTTTCTGACATATAGAAATGGACCACCAAGTTGAATTATATATCATGCGAAAACTTATCTGAAATGCTGCTGAATGTTATTGAAGATAAAAGAGAAACGTTTTGAATGTATTGGTTGTTATAGAAAGAATATCATGGATAAAATGAATCACTGGTATTGCGGTTTCAAAGTACTATAATTTGTTGAATTAAAAAAGGGTAATGAAGTAGTAGTATTGTTCCACAATACTAGTGTGCTGCATTAGAATATGACTTTTACATGCTGCTTTGAGACTTTGGTTTGGTACTTTTTTCGAACAGATTATTCATATTTTGGGGTGTGGGTGTGGGCGTGGGTGTGGGTGTGGGGTGTGGGTGTGGGTGTGGGTGTGGGTGTGGGAGTGGGTGTGGGTGTGGG